TCTAATTACTTTATTTTCCAAATCTGCAGACTGGGCCACAGCAACGCGTGGCCAGGGACTGCTAGTAAATAAATAAAAGGAAAGCGTAGAGAAGTCGGTGATGCTGGGGAAAATGGAAGGAAAAAGGAAGAGGGGCCGACTAAGGGCAAGATGGATGGATGGCATACTTGAAGTGACTGGATTGACCTTGAAGGAGCTGGGGGTGGTGACGGCCGACGGGGAGTTCTGCCGTGGGCTGGTCCATGAGGTCACAAAGAGTCGGAAACAACTGAATGAATGAACAAGAAGTCCAAAAAAGGGATTCGTTCCCAAGCTCTGGTCGCGTCCTTCTCCCAGATGGAAGCCATCGAAAGGCACTGTGCAGCTGTCCCTTCTTTTCCTTCTCAATGGCTCTTCTGTGATAAAGGGAGGGAAAGACTTGGGAAAATACCGAGATCTATTTGCATTCCTCCTCTCCAAATAATTTTGTGAATGAAGCAGGATGAATGGATAGTCGAAGCCTTATTTGGAGGATTTGTTAGGCTGGACCCTTTCCATCCATGGGATTCACCGATGTTTCAGCACACCATTCAAGAACGGGTTCGATAAAATGGATCTCATTGGAACGAAACGACAGAATAGAAGTAGTGTTTGCCATTCCAAGTTCCGTCCTACATTCATTTTAAATGGGGAATCTCATTTATGCAGCTCTGGAGTTTCGGACACAAAACCAGAGGAGAGACCTTCCACCTAAAGGATTTATTGACGGTAAGAGCAGTTCGATGGTGCAATGAAGCACCTCCAAAGAATGGAAACTCTCCTCCTTTGCAGGTTTTGGAAGGACATTGACAAGCTGGAGCAGGTCCAGGCCAAAAGCTCTAGAAAGCAAGTCCTTGCAAGGGAAAGTTGGAGAGCTGGGTCTGTTTCGCCCGGAGGAGAGAAAACCACGAGGTGACGTGAAGGCCATCTTTAAAGATTTGGACTTGTTTTCTGCAGTTTCAGGGATTAAGATCTCAACTAATTCGCATCACAAGAAAAAGTACCATTCATCTGCCAATTCTGTTTAATAATAACTCCATCTTATCCTTTTGACAAATGGAGCAGAACATCTGGAGGAGTTTAAGCAGAGGCTGGATGGACGTCTGTCAGGAGTGTTTTGATTGTGTTTCCCTGCCTGGCAGGAATGGGGTTGGATGGCCCGCTGGGGTCTCTTCTGGATTCTATGACCTGGAGATGGCTCAGCATTGTTTAATAATAATAATAATAATAATAATAATAATAATAA